GACAACGGTGAGCGTCTGCTGCAACTGTGTGCGGAGCACCAGTTGTTTCTTAGTAGCACTGCTTTTAGACACAGTGGGCGCCGAAGCGCCACTTGGCGTCCTCCTGTAGCTGGCCAGCGGTGGACGCAAATTGACCACATAGCCATAAGTTACAGATGGCGTGGTTCCATGCTGGATTGCCGCTCGCAACGGAATACCTGCATGGACTCTGATCATGCTTTGGTACGTTGTCGTTTCTCCATGTACTTTATCTGGAAGCGATGAGTCCTGATACAGGTGCACCTTTCACTTGTTTACACATTTTTCCGTTGAACGCGAAGTAAGTTGAGAGGCATAAGTTGAGAAGTTCGCATACGCTTCTGGTCGTCATGTTCCCAATCTTCCTCCGCAGTTGTCCAAACGTTCTGCGATAATTTCTTTGGCCAGCTGTAAGTTGACGGAAGTGAATAGGGCGATTACGTCGAAGGACACCATAGTTTCATCGTGTTTTAATCGTAGGTATTTAAGCTTTGTCAAGAATTGTTGGGCATTGTTTATGGAGTGTTGCGATTTACTGATTAGGTGCTTGAGGCGTCTCCATAGTTCCTTTGCCAGATAGTAGGTGGGCGTGCCTGGAAGTGAGACAATTGGTCTTAAGGGTGCTCCATCCTTGTGTATTTTAGGTAGTCCATAGAATTGTGCAATGTTCGGGTCGCGAGCCCTCATTTTTTCTCGTTCCTCTTCCGATATTTCGTTCGACTGCTTAAGCTCCGTCAACACTCTGTTTATTTTGTTGGTTAGTTGCGATGTTGGGTCATTCTCAATGCATTGGTAGATTGTAGTATCGTTCAGGAGCTGCTCCGCTTTCTCGGTGTAATCTGCTTTGTCCATAATTACTGTCATCCGTCCTTTATCAGCAGGTAGGATAACAATTGATTCGTCCGACTTCAGAGCTTTTATTGCTTCTTTCTCTTGTCGGGATAGAGGGTTGCATTGCTTTAAATGCGTCATGGCTGGGACGACTGTGTATCTGATTTGTTTCTGTGGTTCGTCGGCTAGTCCGTTGGACTGCAAAGCACTTTCAAATCGTGCCAGAAAATCCGTAGTTGTCGCGTTTTTGTAGTGATAATTTAGGCCTTTGATGAGAATTTGTGTTCCGTACCACTGAGTGGCCGTTTTGACAGGTTCCTGATCCAACCATTGTTGATGCATTCGTCGGTGCTGATTGTCAGTTTGGTCAATTTCTGGTGAAGCGCAGTCTGCTTTTGTGTTTTTAGCTCTGCGCTCTATTGCGAGTTGCACTTGTTCAGTCAGTTGTTGCCCAATTGTTTGTAAACAATTGGTTCCATGTTCGTTTAGACAACGTTCATATTTTCGGATACGGTTGTGGGCGTCTGTGATCATCATTCGTACCATACGCTTTCCGAATTGCCGCGCAATTGTCCATGCCTGTGGATGGTTCATCGGTGGTCTATAGTTGATACTGCGAGGAAGAATGTCTCTTCGCAAGCATTCATGGAGGAAGTACAGCTGTTGCCGTGTGGAAGCATTTCGGCAAGCGAAATCCTCCCAACAACAAGCAGTGCGGAGCGTTGAGCGCCCGTAGGTGTTCGAAATGATTTGGAATATTGCTAGCTCGGGAGGCTTGCTCAGTTGTTGTGGAGTTCTTCTAGCTAGGCAAGTTGGTTACCCAGCTTGGTTGCCTCCACAACTCCACAACAACTGAGCAAGCCTCCCGAGCTAGCAATATTCCAAATCATTTCGAACACCTACGGGCGCTCAACGCTCCGCACTGCTCGTCGTTGGGAGGATTTCGCTTGCCGAAATGCTTCCACACGGCAACAGCTCTACTTCCTCCATGAATGCTTGCGAAGAGACATTCTTCCTCGCAGTGTCAGCTATAGACCACCGATGAACCATCCACAGGCATGGACAATTGCGCGGCAATTCGGAAAGCGTATGGTACGAATGATGATCACAGACGCCCACAACCGTATCCGAAAATATGAACGTTGTCTAAACGAACATCGAACCAATTGTTTACAAACAATTGGGCAACAACTGACTGAACAAGTGCAACTCGCAATAGAGCGCAGAGCTAAAAACACAAAAGCAGACTGCGCTTCACCAAATGTTGACCAAACTGACAACCAGCACCGACGAATGCATCAACAATGGTTGGATCAGGAACCTGTCAAAACGGCCACTCAGTGGTACGGAACACAAATTCTCATCAAAGGCCTAAATTATCACTACAAAAACGCGACAACTACGGATTTTCTGGCACGATTTGAAAGTGCTTTGCAGTCCAACGGACTAGCCGACGAACCACAGAAACAAATCAGATACACAGTCGTCCCAGCCATGACGCATTTAAAGCAATGCAACCCTCTATCCCGACAAGAGAAAGAAGCAATAAAAGCTCTGAAGTCGGACGAATCAATTGTTATCCTACCTGCTGATAAAGGACGGATGACAGTAATTATGGACAAAGCAGATTACACCGAGAAAGCGGAGCAGCTCCTGAACGATACTACAACCTACCAATGCATTGAGAATGACCCAACATCGCAACTAACCAACAAAATAAACAGAGTGTTGGCGAAGCTTAAGCAGTCGAACGAAATATCGGAAGAGGAACGAGAAAAAATGAGGGCTCGCGACTCGAACATTGCACAATTCTATGGACTACCTAAAGTACACAAGGATGGAGCACCCTTAAGACCAATTGTGTCACTTCCAGGCACGCCCACCTACTATCTGGCAAAGGAACTATGGAGACGCCTCAAGCACCTAATCAGTAAATCGCAACACTCCATAAACAATGCCCAACAATTCTTGACAAAGCTTAAATACCTACGATTAAAACACGATGAAACTATGGTGTCCTTCGACGTAATCGCCCTATTCACTTCCGTCAACTTACAGCTGGCCAAAGAAATTATCGCAGAACGTTTGGACAACTGCGGAGGAAGATTGGGAACATGACGACCAGAAGCGTATGCGAACTTCTCAACTTATGCCTCTCAACTTACTTCGCGTTCAACGGAAAAATGTGTAAACAAGTGAAAGGTGCACCGATGGGATCACTTGTATCCGGACTCATCGCAGATATCGTCATGCAAAAATTGGAAGAGGATCTATTACCAATGATTAATCCGAAACTTTGGGTTCGCTACGTCGATGATACGTTTGTGATACTCAAACGTAATCAAGTATCGATGGCACAGCAACTGCTTAACAACGCTATGGATGGCATACGTTTACCATGGAATCAGAGAAGGAAAGCAAACTTCCTTTCTTGGATGTGTTAATAACCAGAACAATGGACGGCGAAGTGCAAACCTCAGTTTACAGAAAAAGCACGCATACCGATCAGATTTTGAATTTCAACAGCAACCACCCAAGATGTCACAAAATAAGCTGTGTGCAGAGACTGTTCCATAGAAAAGCAACTCACTGCAGTACGACAGAAGCGAAACGAGCAGAAGAAAAACACTTATTCAAGTCATTTAAACGCAACGGATACCCACGCAGTTTCCTCCGAAGATGCTTAAACCGCAAGCCCTCAAAAACCGAACCTACGTCAGCTATGACGAAACGTATAGTTCTGCCGTACATAAAGAACGAATCGGAAATGATTGCCAGATTGTTCAAACAACATCATATCATGGTAACCCACAAGCCAACCGCCACTCTGAGGAAAACATTGTCAAAACCAAAAGGAAAGCGAGAGACACTAGGACGACGGAATGTCGTACATAGAATAAAGTGCGTAAACCGTGAAAAGCACTACGTGGGACAAACAGGAAGCTGCCCACAAGGATACATGAACACCAAAGAGTGTGCAAGAACCATTACGCAACCTCATTGGTTTCAGCGCACGTGGATGAAGAGGGACACAGGTTCGACTGGAACAAGGTAGAGATCTTGACCGAAGGAGAAACACAAAAAGGGAGGGAGTTTCTCGAAGCATCTTTCTCAACCACAAACTCAATCAACCTGCATATCGACATCGATCCAATATATCAACCGCTGAGACACAGAGAGTTCAAGAGAATCAACAACCGTTGTCCGAAAGAACCTAATCTAACACACGGAGAATGAACAGCATGGCCAATATGAGCCCAGACTACTCATCCACACCCGTTGCACCAATCCGAGTGCGATAATCCCAACCAAGTCGCAACAACATTTCCGCAGCCAATGACAATGACTCGAGCACAACCGTTGAACACAAGGATTCACCAATGAGAACGAGACAAAATGAATAGCCCCGTCTGCCTATATAAGGAACGGAGTGGTTGCTGACAGTATCCATCATTGGGTTTGCTTTCGACGAGCTACTGCTACTTAACTGCTATCAATCCCGCACTGAAGATGCCACCTCGAATGGTGGCGAAACGTTTGCAACCAAGTTGCCCAGCTCGGAGAACTCCACAACAACTGAGCAAGCCTCCCGAGCTAGCAATATTCCAAATCATTTCGGAGTCCGCGTAATTCGCCTTGTGCTTGACTCGAGACTTTACAGGACATGGCACGCAACCGACACCAGTGGCGCGTCTGCTGCCGTCTCCCAGTCGGATTGCCTGGTTAAAGTGTGTTTGGTGCTGTTATCTACGGGGTAATGGCTGACCATGACGTGGAGCAGTGAAAGCCGCAAGGAAACTGTCTCGCCGATGCCGCCTTATCATTGCACGGTAGCTAGCTGTTTGTGACGGTATGTTGTCTACACAAGGTGTAGGCGCCTTGACTCTGAATGTTGCTTAGGGCATTAGGGTTTTCTCTCTTATTATTCTTTATTCCTTAAGTCATCATGGCTGTATGGCAGCGAAGTATCAGTTCAACTGGCTGATGTACTGCTGTTGTTGATGATGATGAATGACCGAAAACATATGTACGCTTACAGATAGCCAAGATGAGGTCAAAACAAGTCGCACCCTGTAGAAGCGGATAACACAACATTTCCGCATATCGAAAGAGGTTCAAAAACATAAACGCTCAATGGGGCATTGCCTCACCTCAATCTCTATGTTCCCAACGCGACTGATGGTTGCAACGCAGTAAGGCTCAATAAGAATAGTGCTGCGGGGGAGACAGAAGGTGAAAGCAAAGTTGATGAAAAATATGAACATAAGAAAATAAATGGCGGATACGAGTTCAGGATGAGCGCGACACAAAGTTTACTGGTGTTGGAGATGAGTGATAAAGCACAAAAAACAACCGCATATAGCAAAAAATTATATACAAGTGGCAACTTGTATACACGAGCCAATTCACTAGATTGCTTTAGCCTGATGCAATCTATCAGTAAAATTAAGGAAGTTAAGAAAAGCGATCCATTATTTGGTGGATGGATTTGGTGGTGGATTACGGAACTAGAATTATCATAAATAACATGACGCGTCAGCTGTATGCTGTAACGGCGCTTCGCTTCCACGCGACCACCACCAGTCGCGCGTGGGCTGAGTATACCGCGAGGATGCCCGCGCCTATGCAGATTCGAACCAGTGACATGGTTGCAAGCCAGACGCGCAGATCATTCGGCCACCGGCCGACGCCAGCGGTGAAAATTGATACGCTCTGGGTGTGCAGGGGACAGTGTTTCGCACTCGTACTGGTGTAAGGATGATGATAGTGTAGATGCTTTGGGTCTACATGTATATTCCAGTACGCTTCTCACTCTGTTACCTCGTTTGTTCAAGTGGATCGGTGATGAATCTATAATGATACGAGAAACTGACTTGTTTCATGGTACCAATGAAAACACTACGATGGGGTGATTACGTCAGGCGACAGATTTTGGGTGCAAGCCCCGGCTATTGGTGTGTCACTCATCCTTGGAAGGTCATAGCATCGGAAGCTAAGAAAAGTAACGTGTTTCGCACGGGGACTTCACAGTAGCCTTGGTACAATTCCACCCTAATCCCACCATCATGTCGCGTTTCATTGGTAGGAGGGGCTGGTGTACGCATCAATGTAAGTTGTCCCTTCTTCTATCAAGCCTGCACATGTGCCGAAGTTAACAGCTGTTCAGCGACTGGGTGGATGCAGATCGACTGGTCATCAATGGACCACAATGTCTGCGTCTGGAAAGTGAGAAGCCATTTTTCCATACATTTTCCGTACCGAGTGCTTTCGTTGCGTCTGCTAGGGGGACCGAGTTGTAAATGGAGGGACAGGTGTGATGATTAAGAACAGGGGGTGAAGGGCAAACAAAGATGGAGTAAGAGCATCCGCAGTTGCATGTAGCTTCCACGCTGCCCATAACGGACTGGCCACATCTTAGAACCAATGTCAGCTGAGAAGAGAACGCGGACTGATGAAATAGGCATGATGATATCAAGTTATCTAGCCAGAACGGCAGTGTTACCAGCAGGTACCTGATGAGGATGGAACAAACGTTCGCAGAGCACTCAGCAAGAGCTGGTTGCGGTTGTCTTCGCTGCTGCTATGATGGAAACACAAACATGGGCAGGGCCTACAAAATCGGTCGTGCTTTCTCGTTCCATCCGTGGAATTATTTCCACTCATGCTTTCGGTAGCTCTCTGCTTAGTTTTTCTTCACTAAGCCATACAATAATCAAGATCATGCGAACCTACATTGGCGATATTTTAAAATGCCTAAATGTTTCTACTCCAATAAACGCCTTATTATTCCTAGTCAAGCCATAAGAAATAAACTGAAACGAAGCAACAAAAAGTAGAACAAATCTAGTAAAAAGCGTCGTGTTTGATGGAAGGTCACCCTACGAAAGAAAACATTGCGGAGCATGAGTATATCCATCACACAAAGCTCAAATATCCGAGCGCTTGTGAGCAAAATGGATGAGATTAAAAGCACGGTATGCTCTCATGAATACTCGAAGCTAGGCGTAATTATTCTTCAAGAGACCTGGACGTGGACGACACAGTTGTAGCGATCGAGGGATTCAGTTGCCATCGCGCCTTCCGCGACCGTGGCGGAGGAGTTACTACTTATGGCAATCCTCCGGGGTGCACGTCAACAAAATGTATGTTCGCTTTTCTTCGTCAGGTAGTAACAGTTTAACTTGTAAATGCAAGCCAAGATGCTTTAGCGGCTGTCAACCGATGTTACTGGCAAATACCTACATTTCCCCTAGCTGCCCTACCTCTGAAGCAGATGAATTTTACGATCAATGCCCTTCAACTGTCATCGACCACATTAATTCTTCGCTCTGCATTTTCACTGGTGATTTCAACAGATCTGACACTATTTTTCTCAATCTTGGGTCACAAAATGTAGTAAACTCTCCCAGAGATCTGATATTTGTGAATAATGCGAAGGGTTATTGTGTGCAATCAGGCGCCGATTCGTAGCTCTGAGCACTCAAAGGTCAAGTTATCTCCTGTCGTGTACAGCAAAATAAATCACAATGAGAGCTCACTCGCTGTAGAAATCGTAAGCTTAAAAGAAGAGAATGTTCACCGCAAAACATATATCGACTAAGAGAAATGATTGCATCTACAGACTTTAGTGAATTCCTTGACAGTGATTTGTATACATGCTGTGACTAGTCAATAAGCTACCTCAACTTCTGTTTTGATACCTGCTGTCCAATGGAAATGATTTATATTCGTGCTGATCGGTTTTCATCGTGTCTAACACGCCTGCGTAGACTCAAAGACAAATTGTTCCTACAGGAAGACCACGCTGCAGTGAAGTTTTTTGCTATTTTTATCAAGTTAGCGTTGCGCCGTCTAAACCATCTGTATGTCCAGACCATTCTCGGAAATAACAGATGTCGAGAGGTCTGGCAGGTGCTGAAACAACTTAGTGGTGTCTCTCACTGAGTGCCAAATACAGACGTAGGCCTTGAAGATTTGTACCGAAAACTTTGTTGCTTCAGTGTTAACTACATTTCCTACCCTTCTTCCCCCCAAGTGGACAGTCCCACAATCGCTTCATCTGCCACTGAGATGTATACAGTAATCAATCAATTGCTGAAGCTAAATTCCAAAAAGCAAGTAGCCCGGACGGATTATCTTCCCTAATTCTCAAGGTGTGTGCTGATTTCTTGGCTCAGCCTATTGCTGACAGGAATGTGAAATTGCCGACTGTTGAACAAATGCTAGAATTACACCGGTGCCAAAGAAAGGCCAGATAAATACCGGTTAATTGCTTGCACTCCAGCAAACCTGAAAGTCTTCCAGAAGATTATTCTTGAAAAAAGGATGACTCAAACTCCTCAGTTTGTTTATCGTGGGCTGAGATCTACTGAAGACACTCTAGCCTATCTTGTACATTCAATGCTGGTGTCACTGGACAATAATATTAAATCCATGCGTGTATGTGTTCTCAACTATAGCAATGCTTTCGGCAGTGTAAACCTTGAGCTTGTTTAGAGAGTCCTATGTGATAACGGAATCCGTTTCCATTGTCCATCCGCTGATGGACTATTTCTCTGGACGTGCCAATTGCACTCGACCTGGGGGCAAAAGTTCCTAGCCAATCACCCCAGCCACCGGGGTGTTTCAAGGAAACATATTGTCAACATACCATTTTACCACTTATGTCGACTCATTACACATTCCTGACCAAGCGATATCGCTGAAATATGCAGGCGATGTGGTCTTATGTATCCAGCATCCGACCTCAGCCTCATCAATCAAGTTACAAGTCTATCTGGACGACCAGAGCTGGTCCAGAGCTCACCTTTCGTAGCTAAACGCATTAAAATGCAGTGAGACTCTTCTATCCCTTCACAATGATCGTCCTTATCAGCAACTTCTAATGGATCGCCCTGTAGTTCACATAAATAGTGATCGGTTGCACTCCACCGAGTTTGTAAAGTATCTAGGTGTTACACAGCCGTGATCTAGCCCTTGATAAGGAGGAACTCGAGCTGGTTGATCGATTCACTTGCCTTGGCAGCTGTATCAGCAACGATAGGCGCAAAGAAACTGAAGTCAGCTCACGCATTGAAAAATCCAAAACTGCATTCTTAAACCTGCACCACCTTTGGCGACACAAAGGAGTTCCCCTCCGACTAAAAGGCCGGTTATAAAGGCCACAGGGAGGATCGTCCTGCTCTATGGTGGTGAAACTTGGCCTCATCGGTCTGAAGATCTGAGGCACCTTCAAGTCTGTGATCCTCGCTGTCTGCAAAGCATTACTACTGTCGGATGGCACCAGTGTGTCCGCAACGAGGATGTGCGTAGGCGAGTACTAGGTAGTGATAAGCATGAGAGCTCCCTAGAACAACAGCTAAGTTGCGTTGGTTAGGGCACGTGCTACGTATGCCCGGTCACCGCTTACCTAGACGGCCTTGTTTAGTCTGCCAGGTGTAGTGTGACGCAAGACTCGAGGTGGACAGAAGTTGACTTGGCAGGGTGAAACGAAATTACTGATAACTAAACTGGGTGCCGTCAGTCCGTCTCGCGATACAGGATGGAGTCCACGTGGCTCGCCTTGTGCTTGGCTCGAGATTTTACAGGACATGGCGCGCAACCGACACCAGTGGCGTGTCTGCTGCCGTCTCCCAGTCGGATTGCCTGTTTAAAGTGTGTTTGATGCTGTTATCTGCGGGGTAATCGCTGACCATGATGAGGAGCAGTGAAAGCCGCAAGGAAACAGTCACGCCGATGCCGCCTTATCTTTACATGATATCCAGCTGTTTGTGACGGTATGTTGTCTATCCAAGGTGTAGACGCCTTGACCCTGTATGTTGCCTAGGGCATTAGGTTTTTCTTTCTTATTATTCTTTATTCCTTAGGTCACCTTGGTTGTATGGGAGCGAAGTATCAGTTCAACTGGCTGATGTACTGCTGTTGTTGAATTGAGTATTGACCTATCATGGTGACTACATGTGAATGAAATTTTTACAAAAGTGGGGAGGCTTTCATTTTACACTGCTCGTTTGCGATCCCCTTCTTTCCCCCACTACGTAATACTGCGATTTATCACCGCTTGTGTCTTACCTCACTGTACTTGTTGCTCCCCTGTTACATGCACCGGTTTTTAAAACAAACATTTCAAAAGTCTGGATAGGTCATTGACACAACTGCCTCGATGTAGTGGTAGACGGTTAACATTATTGCGTCTACTCATTCCAGTTCATGCAAAACGCTTGTTTCAAAAAAGTACTCGCTGATGTAAGTCACTCCCTTTATGATGCACTGTTTGACTGTATATCAACTTACTCAACTAGACAAAAGTACAGATCCATTTAGTCCCGTACAAAGGCTTACCAGTTATCCGTAAGTCAATAATTTGCGCGCTTTTTCTGTAGCTAGACTTCAGTCGTTATGGAGCTTACAAGCAAGTTTGCATTGCAAAAATATTGTTGCTTTGCTGCTTATTACTCTTTTGTGTATACTTTTTACGATGCTGAAGGCGTGTGTGTAACAGATGAATATCCAGCGCAGATGCATAAAGCTCTTTCTTGAATTGAATAGAAACAAGTCGACTGGCAAGTACCCAGCAAGGTTGGTTAAAGCTAACAGAAGCACACAACCTAGGTGCCTTAAATTTGTTTACCAGGAATGTGATGGCGACTGGCGTTCCAAATAGCTTGGCTACTTGATTCCTCAGATCATTTCCAAGTATCACGGGAAACGAGCAGTTCTAGGAATGCGCCTTAAAACTGGGAGGGAAAATATGTAAGATCCTGTAAGGATTATACATGAGATGTACGTGGGACTGGATCCCCAGGATGGATATGCAAGGGAAAGACGAACAAATCCCGAAAGTTAGTAAAAGGAAACGAGTTCAATGAGCAAAATGATAGGAACCTGTGGGGTGAGATGATGAATGCTGGTCCCGCGATCTGATGACCTGCCAGTAAATGATCCAGTAGATAAACTGCTGTATCCATAAAACCTTGGTCGAAGTAAGTTTGGGTGATCTGTAGGTGAGAAAAGCAAAGAAGGCGCCGGTGTCAACAAGTAACCAAACAAGACATCGTACAAGGATAAGATTATGTGGAGCAAAACAATTTGGATAACTGAAGGAGAATACAAAAATGAACAGGATATGAATGTGGTAACGGTGGATGATCTTCCTGCGGTTAACTAGCGGTTCTCATCGCGTTGATTTAGCAAGATGAACGAAGTTACATAGTGGACAAAAATGCAGGAGTGAGTCGCAACCAGTCAAGGTGGTTATAAGTTTCTCATAATTCCAGAGCACAAATAACATTTCAGTAGTAACGTTACCAACCGGTTGCCGTCGCAAGGTTACATTATGTTGTCAATGCGGCCAAGACGGAAAAACATCAACCGTTAATCCGTATAAAGCCCGAGTGATAGCTGTATTGCTTTTGGGAATTAGCTCGACGGACTGACAGAGGTCAGTTTCCCCATAGACGAACAACCTCATCATGGTAGCAGCTGGATGGTCCGAGATTACCCCACTCCAGCAAATGGTTCGACAACAGTGTTCAAGGACATGCTGAGTTATCGCCTAGCAAGCGCTCTCCCTGTAAAAGCCACATTTATTCGTTTAACAAGATTGTGGCTAGGCAGATTTGACTCGAAACTAAGTAGACTCCTTGTCTCTTGCTTCACACTAGTGGAACATTGTGTGCCAGCAGCTTGCTGTTGAAACTGGTGGGAAGATGTGGACTCAGTCCAGCAAGCGACAAAATGAAAGGTGTAGCAACTGACAATCGGTCACAGGCTTCCAATAAGTGCGAATCGCGGAATTACCTCTGCTACCTCTAGGGTAAGCTAATTAAGCAAAGGCTCGTGGTGGTATTCCTTAAGCCAACTCTCTACTGTGGCTTGGGCAACCGGGTAGTATCGCACCCTCCGATATAACTGCGGAGGGGTCTGGGTCGTATCCGGTCTTCCTTTTAGGAGCACGATGTTTTCCAATGTCACTCATCATCCTCATCATCATAAACAACAGTACATTAGCCATTTAAACTGATGCTTCGCTGCCGTACAACCACGACGACCTAGGGAACGGAGAATAACAAGTGGAAGAGGGGTCTTATCGGAAAACCATAATATCCTGAAAAAAACATTCAGGGCCACGACGCCTACACCTTGTCAACAACATACCATCACAAACAGCTGGATATCGTGCAAAGACAAGGCGGCATCGGCGAGATAGCTTCCTGGCGGCTTTCACTTCCCCGCTTCAGAATCAGCCGTTACCCCACAAATAACCCAGCACCAAACAAACTTTAAACAGGCAGTCCGACTACGAGACGATGGCACACGCATCACCGGTGTCGACTGCGAGCAATGTCCAGTACAGTCTCGAGCCAGGTACAAGAGGAGTCACGTGGACTCCAGCTTGGAAGGCTAGACGGACCAAAGGCACCCAGTTTGGTCGTCAGCAACTTCATTTCATGCTGCCAAGTTAACTTTTGTCCACTTCGAGCCTTGCGCTACCATACATCTGGCAAGCAAAACAAGGTTTTCCTAGGTAAGCGGTGACCGGTAGTAGGCAGAACGTGCCCAAACTAATGCAACTAATTCAGTATTATATGTTGTTCTAAGAAGCTAGCATGATCATCACCACCTAGTACTCGCCTACGCAGATCATCGTTGCGAACAGGCTGGTATCATCCGACACGAGCAATGTTCCGCAGACAGCAATGATCAAAGACTTCTGACCGAAAGGGACAAGTAGAACGGCCCTCACTGTGGCCTTGTAAACACGGCGTTTAGGCCGGGGAAACGCTTTTATGTCGTCAAATACGCCCCATATTCAAGAAGACAGTTCTGGCTTTATCAATACGCCAAGGACTTCAGGGTTTACGCGCCCAGCATAGCTGATACAGCTGCTAAGGTAAATGAATTGATCAACTACCTCAAGTTCCCCGCCATCAAAGGGTTGTCAAAAGGCTGGTGGTCCCGTAACAATACGTTGCACTTTGAAGGTGCGAAGTGCATACAAAATAATGGGACGTACCGAAGGCAGCGGCGGCACTCGGGAAGCTTGAGTACCAGGAGTGGAACAACCACTAGCTCACCGTTGGCACGAAGCTGATGGTCTACCATTCCATGGTGCTGCTCGTTCTACTATACGGCAACGAAACATGGACAATGTACCGATGACATGTAAGAAATCTCGAGCGGTTTCATCAACAGTGTCTGCGACAGGTTCTGCGCGTCGGTTGGTGCGCCAGAGTTGCAGACATGTACGTGTCTGCAATAGTGGGCTACATACTTTCACTGAGACCTTAGGTGGCTCGGCCATGTGTGCCGTATGGATTCGACGAGGATACCACAACAGCTGTTATATGGTCAGCTGAGTGTGAGTAAACCGTAGCTTCGTTACCAGGACATGATCAAGGTGAGTATCACGTTCCAATATTGATCTCAGACGTTGGAAATAGAAGGCAGTTGATCGGCGTGCATGCGCGATCTGAAAGCAGTTGCCGAAGTGCAGGAGAAAGCCCTCGAGTATGCGGAGGAGAAACTGCAGCGGAAGCGACATGCGCCGACGGAGTGTACCCCATCGACGCCAAGCGCATTATGCTGTAGCACATGCTGTTTCGAGTGCCTGAGTTAGACAGGCCTAGTGAGCCATGAGCTAAGCCACTCGGGACCAGCATCGATAGGATGACGGGTCCTGCCGACAACATAAGCAGAACCGGCGCACGGTTGATAGGTACGCTGCATGTGCTTCCAATGAGCTTACTAACCGCGTGCCTGCGTGTTGAGTTTCGTCATTTCAGGTGATTAGTTTGCTTTATTGTCTTAATGCTTATTTTGGCATCTCAGTTGAATAAATAATAAATAAATGGTTTATTCTCGAATGTATCGAGGCACACCAAACCAGGCATGATCATTTAATGTTTATCTGTATAATCTTCTAGTAACTTGCACACGTCGCTTGAATGAAAGGTGGTTAATTTCGTTAATGTTCCGCGTTGGTTGCATTTTTGGTTTCTTATTATGACATCTTGAATTTATCGCGGATTTGTTGATAACCCATTTATTTCATATGCTAATTTAGCGAAGTTATGTTGGTATATCCGTATGAGTTATTCGATGCGTTTTATCTGATATTGTCATTTCATGTGATTGGCTGTTGCTTGATATACCCGGTGTAGCTATGCTTTATGTGAACGGTGACAAGGTGCCTAGCAGTCTAATACCCGCCACCTCGATTACTGGATCCACGAGACTGTGAATCGTTGCTGGGAGTGATGGGGTGCACGGTCCTCGTAGACGTGCTAAGCTCAAAGAGTGACTCCATGCACTCAGTGTGGAGTGGACTACGGTCCAACCACCGCCTGATTACTGGTTGGAAGCAGCAAGAAGAGATATTTGTGTAGCTGCATCTAATGTCACTCGGGTACCAAGACCAGTTATGTTGGAGTGCGCTCGATATACTTTATATCGGCAGTGTCCAGGAATTGCTTAAATTCTGATACCGAATTTGCCTCAACTACGTGTTATGGCAGGATGTTTCATACATTCACCACTCTCAGTTTTAAACGGAGTTGGTGGGCTGCCCTCTTCAAATTCGGTACTACAAGCTTGTATCGGTGTCCTCGTGTGCTGCTTGGTGTACGCAGATGCAGCAGTGACCTCAACATGGGGTATTCACCGAGATGCAATATCCGATGCGCCATGATGAGGTCAACCTGCAGTCGACGATAAGCTAGGGTGTAAAGCTTTAGTTTCATACACCGGTCTTCATACGGCACACCTCGTAAATTGGGAATCAGCCTGGTGGCCACATGCTGTACTCGCGCAATCTTTCCCACCTTGCTCCGAGTGATAGGACAATAAGCGGGAGAGTCATACTCTAAAATTGGTCATATTATTGAGACGAATAGGCGAATGGTAATCTCTTCCAACCAAGTGCTGAAGCTGCGTCTGAGTGCCCAAAGCATACGAAGGCCGTTTTGGTAAACCTATTCGTATTGTCCATGGACTTTAGGTCGTAGCGCGAGAGTACATCGAGGTCTCGCATGAAAGGCGCGGGTTGCAACGGTTGACAGGTCACAATGTAGGTTCGACTGTGCTCACACTTACCCAGCCTCATGAATTGCGACTTGACTGGGTTGATCGAAAGGATAACCTCTGCAGACCACGTGTAGAGGCGATTGATGTCTTGCTGAAGCAGGTCACAGTCATTGGGTGCGCGTATTACTCTCCATACCTTCGTCATCTGCAAATAACGCACAACGTGAACGGAGTAGCTGAGGTACATCGTTTACATGGATCAGGAACAAAATGGGCCCAAGTACAGTGCCTTGGGGTACGCCACTGCTCGATGGATACCAGCCGGTCAAATGGTAGTCGACCTGGACCCATCACTTTCGACTACCGAGGAAATTCCTGATCCATCGGTGCAGCGAGCTGCCAACACTGCACACCCTCAGCCTGTCGAGGAGCACTTCATGATTTACCTTGTCAAAAGCCTTACTAAAGTCAAAGTAATTGAGGTCGGCCAACTTGCCTTGGTTTAGCGTTTGCAACCATTCGTGCCTCGTGTTAACAAAAGGTTGGTGATGCACGAGGGACCTTTCACAAAACCATGCTGTGCGGGCGTCAAGACGCTGTTCAACTCTAGAAGCTACAGAAGATCCTTTTTCATGACCTTTCCAAGCGTCTTTGCCAAAACAGCAGTCAGGCAGATCAACCGGTAGTTATCCAGTTTGCTTGGATCACCACATTTCGGTATTGCCTTTAAGACTGAGCATTTCCAGCCGCTCGGTAATAAACTAGTAGATAGTGACCAGCTGAACAGCTCAGTTACAGTAGGCGAGATGGTGGTCAATAGGGACTTGAGGATCAGTGGGTGGATTCCACCTGGCCCGGCATGCTTCGTCCCGTCAAGACTTGTCAACAGCTTGCGTACACCTCCAACGCTACAATCCATGTTGTCTAGTTCAGTGGGGGCGGTACTCGTCGAGCTCAGTATAGACACCCGATCACTTGTAAACACCAAAGCGAAGTGCGCTGCCAATGCGGACGCACGATCTGTGCTCGAAGTCAGGGGCTGCAAATCTGAGCCTTTCAACACTGGCACATTGCCTGCAGGCCTCAGTCGCCGCTACACGTAGGCGAAGATGCTCTTAGGAGTAGTAGTTGCGTCGGCTGCAAGTTTCTCTTCGAAACTTGTGCGCTTTTTGGTTTTTGTGTAATTGCAGCGATTTCGCTGTACCTTGTACGCATTGTAATCCACCTCAGAGCCAGATAACAGGAATTTGTTCCACAGTCTGCGTCATCGTCGGACCAATTGGCTGTACTCCTTGTCGAAGCAATGTGGTTTGACTGGCCCAACTTTCCGATACTTGGAGGGTATAAATCAGGCGCACAACGATTTCACTCTCACTTTAATGGTAGTAGTAAGGCTTAAATGCAACTACTTTATCATCATCACTCCAAATCAGCAGGCTTAGGCTAGTCTGGAAAGGCACCAGACGCCGGCGTTTCGACCTTCTGGGTCTCGTCAGTGGTGCGCCTCCCAGCGGACCCCTGCCGGGTTCCGCCCCCATGACTTCAGGATGCTAGCAGCTAGTGCCACTTCGCCATGGGTGACAGCCACGGACCAGCGTGATTGAGAGTTGACAGTAGATAAAATGCTGACTCCATACAACGAGATTTTTGGTGAATGGTTAAGGTGTAAACTGAACAGAATAGTAACAGTGTATCATTCCAACGTTACAAAAGACTCTTACGAAGCGGTAAGTGAACATTATATAAATTGTTGAGTCATATGGAGTGTCTGACAGATGAGGTAGCATCAGACGATTTAGCGATCCCCGAATGACGTTAGTTAACTTAGCACCACCTCAAAGTGGGCTATCAAACTGTAGTATACTAGAGATTCATCAGAATACCGTATAGAACATCAGGTCAAGGAAAAAGTGGCGTACGTATGTGCGGGAGCTAGTCCACCATCAGACTGCATGAACATCACCCTCACGTCATCCAATCCATTACGGAAGCCATTCGAGAAACTTTCGACGTATGCACATATGCGTGGTGTTAGGTAGGCATCTACGACAGCTTTAGAAAATCAATTAGCGCTATCAAACACCACACCTACCTGTCGACGCTCTGGGTACCAAGCGGGCCATGGGCATAACTTGGTGTGACAAAGACGTGTTAACGAATCCGATATCTCTCGCGATTTTTTCCAAAATTAATTCGTGGTTTGGATATATATAGGAATGCATCAAGGCAATAGCGACGCTTCGTATACCCTTATCAAACGCCCGCTGAAGTCCTAATCGAGCGGCGTCAACATCTAAGGGTTTTTCGACTAGTATCTGGGATTAAGAGATGGTCAACATATAACAGCAATACCTGCTCGCCAGTTATTGCAGTGGCTTTTGTGAAAGAATGTTGAAGTTCACAATCCTTTTGATGGACCCACACACGTTCTTTCAACTCTATAACATCATTATATAGCACAGTTGGTAGGTCAATTTTCTATATCATTTGGATGTAAATTGATTAGGTGGAAAGTGATAAATACGAGATCGAATATATCTGGACGGGATTGATCTCCGATGGTTAATACATCTTTAAACCCTTCTGTGACAGCTAACACACAAGGTTCTCCTTTCCTTTCCAAGAGAGCGTTGGTAGCTATAGTGGTACCCATGCGAATGAAATCAATGCAACCAGCATCAAGTTTTCCATTCGGCGAGATATGGACACCCAGCTCCTACACGATGCGGAGTAAATCATTGTCTTACTTGGCACATTATTCTTCGTATCGCTTCCAAGGGGGCATCATTATATTGGCCAGGATTCTCAGAGAGCAATTTTAAAACGTGTATGTTGCCATTCGGGCACCTGGCATACACATCCGTAAAAGTCCCTCCGCGGTCAATTGCAAACTTAAATCCCATTACTGAATGGTGTCTGGAAGAGAGTGGAAAAGGAGATAAGGAAATGACTAAAAACTAGGGATCATCATTAAACCTTGTGGTGAATTAAACGCAATCATACACAAGTTAGTAAAAACAAAAGATGGTCACTCACACAGTGGCCCTAAAATGGATGGGCCTCCGTTTCATACACCAAGTAGCAATGATCAGTTTATTCAGGTGGATAAACAAGAAGACCGAATAGATTTAAATATTAGTGCATTCGTTACGTATGTTGGTTCTTTAATTTTGGAAAAAGTGCTGTCGGTGCATATGATTTTTTATGGTGTGGTTAGAGTGAACAATCTATGAACACTGTGATAAAAAAGGAAGTTGTTTAATGGATTACGTAGAGCTGGTTCACCTAAGTTCCCGGGTTGGAGTTTGTGCTACCCACACTTGGTCGGCAGGTGCTGGATGGATATAAAGCGTCTGCCTAACTATCCAAGAATCTCTGATTCGAATCTGCGTGGGTGCGAATGATCATGTGTCCCTGGTCTGCGAGTAACTGGTAGTGGTCGCGAGGCAACAGAGCGTTAGTACTTGGTACTAACGAACAGTTGATACGCATTCGCTTTCGTCCACACAGGCGCTAAGCTAGAGGTATTACGGACTGTAACAACAGAACTACATAGTTTCGTCAATTTATCTTCACGGTAAAAGTGGTTGAAGTCCTCAACGAAGGCATTTAGTACAGTTTGCACAAACTTTTAGTGGGTTTTATGGTATGGTGTACCAGGTAGACACACAGGTGCAGCTTCAGAAAGTGAAAGTAATAATTCGGCTCCGAAATACAACGAAGGACTGCCGGAACAGCATGCAGAAGAAACTGTCTAAATTCTGTGGTTTTCTAACGCAGATACAGCAGAATTTCAAGGGCGTCTACGGATAAAGTTAAGATTCCAAGCACCTCGATTTACGTTCATCGGGTCATCCAAAGTCTGTACAGCGGACTTTTCCAAACGAAATAGACGGTTCGAAAGTCTGTCCAGCCAAAAGGTGATCATTCGGCGCATCGCTCCCAGACAACCAGTATAGAGGTAATCAATCGGAAAGGCGGTCACCATACTAACGCGCAGTCGTTCGAAAGACGATTAGGAGACAGGCCGACAAGTTCTGAAGGATGTGCTGGCAATGCGGCTGCAGTGACACTTTATTAAGAACGACACTGTTTGACCGACAGAAATATCACGTTAAAAGCGTTCGTAACAATCGCTGTGCCCTAACTGACCTTTAGCTTTGGTGATGAAAGCACGTGAGGGAGCATCGCAAATCATAGCGGAAATGTCAACATCCTTTACTATCCTTTCGTTAAGTAACTCCAAACTATTCTTTTGCAAACCAAAAGGTTTTAATAGATGTTGACGTCAGCAGGCTTCTTATGCCCGCAGTATAAACTAGCAAGGAATATCATAGACAAAAAAGGAACAAAATAGCAATACGACATAGGCCAGCCTTGCGTTCGGAATCGGCGCGAAACCATCTATGAGCAGATATATTCGAACTGTTCGCGTCGGCTGGCGGTATTCACCTCGTAATGCATTCTGCAGACCGTAGTGAAAGTCATGGGCATAAGCCCTTAGCTCAGCAACGCCAACTGGCGTAACCATAGTGCCTTCATGAACGTTTTGGAGTCTTTAGGCAGCGGGGTAGGAAACGTATGCAGATCAGCGAGTAAGTGAATCACTGCTGAAACCCGCGGCTGAGTGTTAACAACCCAATTACTACTAACGTTGCGAACAGACATCCGGTGTTCCGTAACTGAATTAGACAACCGAACCCCGTCTGTACTTCCCGTTAAGGGTTCGCAACAAACGTTCGTTGTATTATCGAAGGTTAAAACTAAATGGACGAACTACTGCTACTCATTACAATCAAGCAAACGCCGGTAATAGTCTTCGGAAGCATCAAGAAAGTGCTGCAAATGCCAAGTGCCGGTCCGCAGCTTAAAGGATCACAAGCCTGGTTTGTAATTCGATGGCGCGGGTTCGAGACTGCGTAGGGGTCGGACGACCCTCGCAGTATCCTTAGCTCACGTGCGACCGCTAGTTGCGCGGTAGGGAAGTGTAAAGCTGTTTAGCGGCACATTGCTGATGCAACTGCCAGGTGGTAGATTGTTACACAGACCATTTGCGAGGATAGTACATAACACTCCGGTAAAACAAGAACCCCTTGAAGCTCTTAACCGTCTGGTTAGCAATGATGAGGTCTTACTCACTCGGCTAGGTAAGGGCGCGGGCATTGTTATCATGAACAGAGTGGATTACTTGAGCAAAATGAAAGAAATACTGGCAGATAAAATCAAGTTTCTGAGGGCCATAGGAGAGAAAGAGAAAAGAAAACAGATTGAAACTCAACTCTGTAACTGCCTTGAAAAGTCTTTAAACGATAGTTACGTCAACGAAACCACTTATGAACAACTGCGGCCAGTAGAAACGGTTATTCCAAGGCTTTATGGGCTACCAAAAAATCATAAGCCTAACGTCCCCCTTCGTCCCGTCTTGGATATGAAAAACTCCCCATATCACTCGATTGCTCGGTGGCTGGTTTTGATTCTTATACCTATTCGAGAGCGAATTGTTGTGTACAGTGTGAAGGATAGCTTTGAGTTTGGGGATATCGTGCGTGACGTAAATGTTTCCAATCTAACCACGTGCTCCCTCGACGTTATTTCACTCTTCACCAAGGTACCATTAGCTGAGACTATAAACTACATCTGTGAGTATGTTGATGCAAACCACATTAATGTTGGGATACCCACGGTGATCCTAAAGGAACTATTGCTCAGATGCACGTTCAGTTTCTATTCAATGGCGAATTATACCGGCAGTGCGATGGGGTAGCGATGGGTTCCCCACTGGGTCCGTTCCTAGCCGACGTTGTCATGGGCATGCTGGAACAAGGAAAGCTAAAGCCAACGATCTCAAGTCTCGCTTTATAGTGCCGTTACGTAAACGACACAGTTGTCCTGCTTCAGTCGTCTGGAAGTATCGAGGAACTAACGAACACGCTCAACCAAGGCCATCCAGCAATAAAGTTCACCTTCGAAGTTGAGGAAAACAGTCGCTTTCATTTCCTCGATGTCGTCATGAAGACTGGATGGGGGTGTGCTACAGCGCTGCGTCTATGGGAAAAGTATATGGAATGGGCAGTATACAAACTTCTACAGCTTTGTGTCACTTAGGTTTAAACGGAACTTGAGAAATACCGTAGTGAGCCGATCTGAACGTATCTGCTCGAACGACACGCTTCCGGAAGAATTGAGGTGCATTCGTTTAGTACTAAGGGAGAATGGCTATACGGAAAGCTTCATCAGAGCCAACATGGAACATAAGAAGAAAAAGTCTGTAGTTTTGACAGTAGAAGGTAAGCCAATCGTCCTACAGCTGCCATACAAGGGCGAGGTTGCGACAGAACTTCTATCTCGTCGTCTTTCGTTTGCACTCAGACGCACCTATCCAGCAGCGCAGATGCAAATCCAGTTCATTAGCATACCGATGATGAGACTAAACTCAAGGGATAGGAGGCCTGTCCACACCAACTCAATGTGTATCTCCTCATTTTCATACACCTGTGGAGCGGAATATGTTGGTCGTACGACACGGCGTCTATCTGAGAAGACCACCCGGTCGGGCTTAGAACTGGAAGCGGAAATACGGCGAACACTTCAGTCGCCGAGTACCTAGCCGATACAGGGCACGCCACAAAGTTTACTGATTCGTTCAAAATTATCTATCAGGCCCCACAGAACCGCTAGAATTACGTCCGCAAGTGACTACTAGAATCCGCTGAAGCAATTGCGATCCGGTTGTATGAACCGGAGCTGTGTTTAGTAGAAGATAACTAAAGGCTTGGGACTGCCCTGGTCCAAACGCCCGGTGACCCACGAGGTCACACGCGGTCGGTTGTCGTGGCTTAACAAACAGCGCTGCCTACATCAAATTAACTCGTTCTAGTAGTAACGACTTGTAATGTCTGTCTGCACATGTTGATTTGTATATAATTGTATAAGCCTGAAGAGGAATTATCCAAAACATATGTTCGCTTACCCTGACTTATGATCATTTGCATAATGCTGTATGTAGGTAATCTCAACAGTTTAATCCAAATGTTTGCACACAGGTAGCATTCTAGGCACTGATGAATTGGTTGAGATATACTAGTGCTCAGAAGGAACGACCGGGGGGGAAAGAAAAAGTAACACACGGTGGACTGCATAGTGGTTTTACATACCTGTTGATTCTCGCTAACCTCGGACAAGAGACGATCGGACTGGGTCTGACTTACCTTCCTACACGGATAGCCTGCAGTTGACATAGGAGACGGGGTCCACAACACCCACTAATGATAAGTCATTACTATTCCACTGTGCTTTAACTTCGTCAACGTGAACTAAGCTATAATTCCCGCTCTCTCCCCGTGGACTTTAACTTAGATGAGCTCATGAATAGCAGTGGACTTAAGTGCACCATTTCCCTGCTAACCTGAGAAGTTGCTTACTCCATCTCCATAAGCTTCTTTGTGTCATCCTTATTCTACCGCTCATGTAAGTCGCGCTTGGGTATAGTATCACGCTAGAATGATTAACTACTGACTTGGTGCAATGTAGTATCTTGATTGCACCTGCCTAAAACGGATGAGCCACATCCAACCTACCTTTGTTTGGCTTACTTAACCCGGTTGTATTTCGTGATGACTTCAAATGTTGCCCACTACACTGTTGTACTCACAT